AAAAGTATTACGCGCAGCTCTTTTCCGTATGAGCAGTGTGTACAACTATAGCTATAGATATATAGCCCGTTGTATGCAAATACATATAGGTTTAGCTTCTCCTCTCTCCATCACCGATGCACACACATTTACATTCTCATGTCTCCCTCACTTATCTCCCCTTACCTCTTCCCGCGAGCTGAGCCTACAAGCCGCCAGCCAACCCAGCTCAAAATTTGTCATAAGTTCTTACACAAGTTCTTATGTAATTTTTTATGTAATTTCTTACATAATTTCTTACATATGTTCTTATGTAAGTTCTTATATCAGTTCTTTAAATAGAACTTATGTCAGAACTTGTACACGATCTTACATTTGCTTATCAACCAAGAACTTACATAAGATATCATGTAATTTGTTATTTAAGTTCTTATAAGAGTCCGTGTATCAGTCGTTTAAACGTATTTAATTAGTATCTACATACATACACGGTGAATTTTAAAACTTTTCCTGCTTAAAAGCTGTTAGAAGAGCTAATATAAATAGGTAAATACAAAAAAAAGGCATCTTTTACCTCCACTATGGTGATTCGAACCTGGTCTGGAGAATCTTTCTCACTCATCTCCTCTTACCTCTCCCCGCGAGCCGAGTCAACAAGCTGCTAGCCAATAGAAAACGTGTGCATGGTTTCTCTGCTGGCCACGATTGATTGGCGCTCAAACCAGCGCCGAAACATTGGCACACTCTTTAACATAGGCACTGGCCAGCGTTGGGTTGGGCGGATTCAATATCGGAACTTTTTCCCTAGATCGTATATTTAGCTATACGATCTAGGGAGAATGTTCCGTCGAGTAGACAGCACAGCAGTAAAGGGGCATTGCCAAAGACATGCAAAAATTAAAAATTGTAATATTAATATTACAAGTGCCTATCACCCAATGACTCGGGGCGCTAACTGGCTACACTATTATATGATAAAATATTAATTATTAACACAAGCGCCTATCACCCGATGACCTGGGGCGCTCACTGGTCGCTTTAATAAACGATATATATTATTGATTAATAACCCAAGCGCCTGTCACCCAATGACCCAGGGCGCTTACTAGCCACTCTTTTAAATAAATAATTATTAATCAATAACACAAGCGCCTATCATCCAATGACCTGGAGCGCTTACTGGCCACTTTGTAAAATAAATAATTATAAATAAATAACGCAAGGACCTATCGCCTGATAACCCGGAGTGCTTACTAGCCACTCTTTTGGATAAATAATTATTAATTAATAACACACAAGCGCCTTTCACCAATAACCTGGGGCACTTACTGGCCAACCTGTCAAATAAACAATTAATAAAAAATAACACAAGCACCTATCACTCAATCACTCAGAGCACTAACTAGCCACTCTTTAAAATAAATAATTATTAATAAAAAACTCAAG